TTTTTGTATTTAGAGCCATCCGTAAAAAAACTTAAATTCATTTAAATTATCATCATCCCTTGAAAATCTTCTCCATAATTAAAGTGCAGTCTAGATGGAGAATATTATAATACGGATGCTTCGTGTACTTGACCGTGCCTGCACTAATCTCTGATACATACCTATAACTATTAACTAAACACTAGGAATTGTTTTTTTTCTCCAGTACTTGCTCATTATCGTATCTATAGCAACCTTATCTATTTTATCTATTATTGGTGTATTTTGTACTAAAAGTCTCTTTATTATAAATTTGTCGCTCAGGTATTGTCTTCTGAGGTTTAACGGCAATTCACCACTTTCCACGAGTAAAGCATTGGTAGGCGTGGATGTCATTGCTCCAAGGCATATTCTTAAACTTTTATACTGCGCTTTGTCTAATTTTTTACAGTGCATGTTATTATTAAAAATTACGCACCCGTAATCTAAGTGCGGTCTAATTAGCGCTTTGTATAATTTAAGGGCAGTAATAGGATGAGCCCCCCACCATGTTCCAATCACCATCCTCAATAAATAATATTTTTTTCGACTTTTTTAATTACATAATTAATATGCGTTTTAAATGAGAGTTTTTGATCAAAAATTATCCCTAGGAATTTATTATTTTTTTCAATTTTAATGGAATGGTTACAACTATTAATACTTGTAGGGAAATTTTTGTCCCTATGCCTTGTGAAAATACCTACCGAACTCTTGTCATCAGACAACTCAAGACCTTTTTTTGCTAGCCACACATGAAAGTGTTCAATGTTCCGAGACATTGTATCTATAGCTTCCTGAAGACTCTGTTTCTCCACGTACACTACAACATCGTCTGCATATTGCAAAATTTTAGTACCAGGTTCCCAAATATATTCTATGTCCCTTACATACAAGGCATATAAAATTGGGCTTAAAATACCGCCTTGCGGAAGACCCTTATACATCTTTCTTGGTCCTATGATCGTATCATTAATTTTGAAGTAAACGTTTCTCTCAAAAACTGAAGCAGTTATAGCCCTCGAAAATTCATGTGGAAGTCCTATATCATTCATGGCTTTGCTTAAAATTTCAGGAATAACATTATCGTATGCACCTTTGATATCGCTAAACAATGCCACGACATAGTTATTTTTAGCATTAGATAAATGTAAATCAGCAGAGAAAATACTTAAGTTATCATATGTTCCAAGGCCTTTTCGAAATCCATATTGACTTGTCGGCAAAATATTATTTTTTTTACCCACCATTCTAAACGCCTTTTAATCATCCTGTCTTTGACTTTAGCGACACATGAAGCTAGCGATATTGGTCTATATGACGATATTATACTTGGGTTTCTCTGGGCTTTCTTAATAAAAATTAATACGTAATCATTCCATTCTCGAATTTTTTCAGGTGTTAACCATACATTGTTGATAATTTCAATAAATATTTTCTTGGCCGAAAATGGTAGATTACTAATCATAGAATAAAATATAAGATCCTTACCCGGTGTTGTATCCGTATTTTTCCCAAAAACTAAATTTAACTCCCATAATGAAAAACGTTTTAACAGCATATGATCTTTCAATAACGAACTGCTTTTGTAACAATTCCAATACAAGATTCGACCCCGGCAGGGGCATAATAATCCATTACTCCTTCTCTTATTTCATGCGGTATATTTTCATTCGAATTAACAGGCTCCACAAAATTTTTAAGACGTTTGATCATTGCGAATACCTCCCTCGGTGGAGTATTCGGTTTTAGATTATCCGTAAACTGATACCATTTATTTTTCTTTTTCTTGAAATTCTTCTAATATTACTGTTAATAGTATTACATACAACAAAGTTTTCATAACTAGACTTTTGTCTATATATTTTTTCCGCCTTTCTGCGCTCTCTTATTAATTTATCACACTCCTCATCCCACCATACTGGTTTGCACATTTAGCATTCAGGTCCCCATTTTTTATCGGAATACTTTTTCTGGCCGCTGAATTAATAGCATTTATGAAAAATTCATACGCACGAACCGGGTCGTTGCTATTAAAACTCTCCAAATTTTTCCTATCTCTGACTGGTATTTGTCCAATCGGCTTTTTTACAATTCCAACTTGGATTATATTTTCTTGCTCTTGGCACACCTCTCAACTTCAGCAAAATTGGATAATGATCCGACCCTAATGAATCATCACATACCTTCCAGTCTATTCTGTGAGCAAAATTATGCGAACACAAAGAGATGTCAACTACTGACATATTATTTTTAAATTTTAAGGTAGGCTTTCCATTATTGAGAATATATAAATTATTGTTTTCAATAGCCTCTAAGAGATTATTACCATATTTGTCACTAAAATTACTACCCCATGAAAAGTGATGTGCATTGAAATCTCCACAAAGAATAACGGGTTTGGGCAATCGCGAAAGAAAATCATTCCACTCATTTACTGAGATATAATAATTAGGTGCAACATAAATAGAAATAACGTATAATTTAACATTTCCTACCATTAAGTAAATTCCACAACTTTGGCATCTTTTTGGATCCAAAGATCCTAAATTAATTGCTACCACGTTATATGGCTGGTTACGATGCACGAATATCGCCGCACCTCCTTTCCATCATCTCTGTCCTCTCTCACTATATTATAATTTGAAAATACATAAGTTTTCTCTTTCTGAAACCAGGTTTCAGTAATAGCCAAGATTGATATATCCTGACATGACAAAAAATATTCTAAACTACTTCTATTAGACATAAATGACCTTGCATTCCACTGAAGAATTGTTACATCCATTACAGAGTTATTCTTTAAATTTGTACTTGCCATAAAATCGATTTGTATTAATTATTTATAACTTTTTAAATGTTATTATATATACACACTATTCTTGTCATGTTCTATAAGTATTTATTAGTAATTACGACCGAAACTAAAGACATTATTGGTGCTGATTTCCAGCTCCACCCCGCTGTACATTCAATATCTTTTTCATTTCAAATATTAGCAATTTAAATTGATTTTCATCACCTGTACTGCAAATTTCCTTCATTAATTTCATAACCTCTGCAATGTTTTTATCTGAGTCTTTATACTGCTCACTTATATTCCTAATTGACCGATCTACGGTTACATGTTCCGAATTTGATTTTACACGCTTCCTAGGACTATACTTTGTTTCCAACTGGTTGTAAGTAACTCTGCTGATACCAGCTCCTCCTTTTTATTCTCTGTGAAATTAGTTTAATCTCGGACTTTCTGTTCATGGTTTTGAAACCATATCTTTTAGGTCTACTGATTGTGGCCACCTTTCCGTCATCATTACGTTCTTCACCTTCCATGTCTGATAAGACGTCGAATCTATTAATGTGGTTTAAAACCGGGCCTGATGTCTGCTTATGATTTGTATTGGATTTAATGACTGGAAAGTCATTATTTTTATCAAAACTAACAAACTTGGATTTAGTCTTGCTAGCATATGTATCGCGTCGAATTAAATCTCTCGCTTCATGGTAAGGTATGTTCTGCATAGCCATCATCTCCTTAATGACTTTATTTTGCATGAAAATAGGACAAACCTTGCTATTTGGGATGTTCTCTTACATAATACACATAACAATTCAGACGCATCACTATCATTAGTTCCCGGCGCATTCATGCATTGCTGTTTACCCACATTGTCTTGATATGATTGAATCTGCATAACACTACAACCCGGCGCATCATGCACTGTTGCCAACATTGTACAATTCTAGGTATAAAAGGCCTAACTTCACATTTGACTGAATGAATAGCAACTTTATTTGGTAAGTCTGCTCCCCTGAAAATTATTTTAACACACTGTGCTTTATGTACACCAATATTTTTCGACCTCAGACATACCACATCAATGATAGGTATATCTGATTCTATCACATCTAGAATTTCTTCTTTTGTAAGGTTTGGGTCTACATCGAAAATTATTCTTGTCTAAAAAGAACATATCTCGGTATATATGCTTTATATTTATTTTATCTAGTACATTACACTCTAAAAACTTGTTTGCTATTTTCGCATTTTTGAATTCTAGCTTTATTTTGTTTATTCCTATAGAAGATATTTCCGCTATCCCAAATTTATAATCAACTCCTGTATTGTGTATTATTTTTCCCAGAGACATAGGATGTAGCCTACCTATATTCTTATCAATGGATTCAATATAAACAACAAATGGTCCTTTGTCGCATGCATCGAATCTTGCTGCATTATTGACAGTGTTAGGAATATTCAAATGACTTCCCATATTGACCTCTTCACACACTTCTGAGCTACATTGCATATTAATACTATCCATGTCATTACTTGACTCACTATTAATGGGAATACTCTCCATATTAATTTCTTCGCTTGATTCCGAATTAACTTGTATATTAACATTATTCACACTATTATCTGACGTAATATTATTAAATTCACTGACCATATTAATTACCTCACACGATTTTGAATTACCTTGCGTGTGTTCACTAATCATACTATTGTCTATCATAGTATTGTTCCCTCGTACTTCACTCGGATTACTTTGCACATTAATACTATACATATCTTTACTATTATCTACATTGTCGATACCAACAATTTTATCTCTTAAATTGACACTTCTTTTAAATATTTCTTCTCTAAGACTTTCTTTGAATTTCTGTATGGTTTGCTTGATTTAACACTTTCTTTAATATTTCTATACGCTTTGCTTATTTTACCGGTACTACTCTTTTCCGACACTAATTTCCTCTCGCTACTATCAACACTAATTACATTTGCACACTCCAAATCCATGTTATTGTCTAAACACGTGTACATAGCTCCTGCAATCGTCGAACCAATCACAGAGCAACTGCTGCTGACGCTCGGGTCGGGCGGTCGCCCGACAATGCCGTCTGACTCGGCAGACATTACGTAAGATAGGCTTGAATTTATAGAAAATATTCGATGTGTACCGTATGGCTGTCTCGAACGAACTGATGTGTACTGATTAATTTATCAAAAAAAAAAAAAAATTTTTATTTGAAAAAAAAAATCTTTCTTGAAAGAAAAATTTTTCTTTGAAACAAAAAATTTTTTGAAAAAAAATGTTTTCTTCATTTTGACATATTTTGGAAATTCTGAACTTTTTTTCAAAGCAATCGTACTGCTCGAACTACATAGAGACGAAATGTCAAGCGCGTAAGCGCCGCGCCGCCGTCTAACTCATAAGCATTGGTACGGAACCCATAGAAATGTAAAAAAAAATTATACTTATTGTTAAAATCTCTATAAATATCTGATAATTTGATGTGCATATGTCTAATGATCATTTTAACGCCGAATGGCATTTTTTTGTTGCCTTTTTCATTAGATCTCCGAAACCGCTAGACCTGCCTTCATGAAAATTTGATCAATTCTTCATCTTGTCAATACAAGTAAAATGTTTTTTGAATTATCCAAATTGGACGCTCCGTTCTCTTAAAAACTGAGTTACCGTTTTCGGCACTTTTTGCCCCGTATCTTCGGAACGGCTAGACCTGCCTTCGCCAAAAACTAATCAGCACGTCTCCTTATCAATACGAATCGAATGTTTTTTGAATTATTCAAATCGGTTGATCCGTGTTCGCGAAATCGTCGACGAAAATTTGTATCCGTACACACATACATACACGCACACACACACATACACACACACCACACACCACACACACACACATACATCCATTTTTCTAAGGTATGCCTAAATATTCAGAAACCTCTGAAACGTAATTATATATAAAAATTTTCATTTTCGATTTTTTTGCGATTACTATAACTTGCCCTAAGGGAAGTTAAAAATTTAATGAGTTATAATAGTAGATATAACATTTATTTTGTTTTTCACCAACTCATATCTGAGATCATCTGCTGCATGATTGCCATTATTATTATATAATAAATCTTGTATCTTTTTTTAAGATATTAATCAGTTTCAATATTTTTGCATTGTTTTTGCAAAACATTTAGTATTCAATATAGATTAGAAAGTTAAGTAATTCATAATTATGTATCCTTATTTTGTTGATGACTTCAAATTGCCTTTGGCCCAAATACCTTCATCCTGGTTTAGCACTACGGGATTATATATATACACATTCATTTATATATATTTACTAGAATCGTGTTTAGCACTATGGAATTCTAATTAAGCCCAGTATCTTCTGCTAAAAATTTTACAACTGAGAGGAAAGGCGAGAGTGCGCACAGCACACAAAT